AAGATTTTCTGAACACAGAAAATCTTTTTTACAAAGGAAATAAAAAGCATGTACTTAAAAGTATTTCGTATGATATAATGGTACACGTGCATGTAAGAGAAAAATGGTAAGGTGGTTATATAATAGCCTAAGAAGATACTACTTATTTCTTCGTAATCTAGTAATTGCCTCTTAAAGGATCTCTTAAGAGCAATCTTTACCCATGGAAGGGATACAGTTACTAAAAAGAAAATACTTTTAAGTTTTTCAAATATGTAAGAATGGATGGGTTCAGGAGCATTAGAAGATGAAAAACAGATTTCCAGAGGGAAGACGCAAGAAACTGCCACAAGAAAATTCCAAGCGTGAGTTTCTGTAGCATTGCGTGTTAAACCCACAGCTCATTTGGAGAGGGGGAGGAGAAACAGGCTTCAGGAATCAGATGTCTTTCTCCTGCTCTTACGAATTACAGTAGGTATCCCTCTGCCAAACAGCTTGCAGAGCCATGGTAAATCGATAAAAGAGTTACACTTCTGCACCTAACTTTTTATGGTTTTACACGTTTTCTGATGTACTTCAGAACCATTATCTCGCCCGTCAGTCCCATAGCCTTTCTTCCATGAAAACCGGAGATGGCTTTAAAACATACGCCGTTTTTGCCTCCGGGACAAGCCTCGGGAAATAGGCCCACGTTTTCCAGCAAAATGGAAGGAAGCAGACTTTAGTTACTGCGAGTTAAGAAGTGAGGAGGGAGTTGTCAGTGCTCCCCAAGCAGCAGATGGCTGTGCAGGCCTGACTCAGTGCGAGTCCTAGAGGTGTCTGCATAACCAGACACAGGCCACCTCTGACACAGAAAACGCAGCACGCGCTTCAGAGCACGCGAAGACTTTAAACGACTTTCTCTCCACAGTGATTTTACTTAGATATTTCGAGTAAAAAGCTTTTGTTGCAGTTTTCCGCCAAGGAGCCCAAGGAGACAGCAAAGCCAGCGGCGGGCGCCGTGCCGAGGCAGCTGAAGCACGCGGGCGGG